TTTTTACATTAAACTCTTCTGAGTGAACACCTCCGACAAGCAGGCACCCAAGACACCAATCAGCCCAAGTTTTCCTCACAAAAATAAACGACATCCAAAAAAACCCAGCGAAACATAACTAACTTTTTCCCGGGCACTACAACCCCCTGTTTCTTTGCAACAACAGCAAAAAAAGCTCACAAAAACCCAACAACGTTCAGTGAGAATATTAAATACCCATGCATTTCAGGCGTATAATAAAGTTTTTTTGCCCATTTTCAGTACGAACCATTACGAGTTTTGTGGGTCCTGAAAATTTTTTTTGCCATCAAATCCGTAAGGGGAAAAACATTTTTTAATTAACCGAACCTCATTTAAAAGGGAGCCCAAATTCTAGCGACTTTAAGAATTCTTTTCCGTTTCCCATTTCAAGGGTTTTGCACAATGCCCGAGCCCATAAGAGCAAAGAATATAAAGGATCCCTTTTTTTTTTTGCCCTATTTGTGTCTAACTGCCTGTGCAAATGTCAAGGAAAGAATGATAAACATAAGAGCGTTGTTTCCACAGACCTTAAATGATCGACGGCGCTCAAATCGCACTCAAAGAAGCACATTAGGTCATTTAATGAGGTTGGGAACTCGGCATCCTTCAAGGCTTCAACCGCAAGCACTCGGTCACCAAGATATTTTTAGACACTGAGAAAGTCTTGGACTTGACTTGGTGACTTGAAATATTGGACAACTTTTATGTTATAATGTTAATAGATTATCTACTCTGCTATGTGGAAAACTCTGAAGACAGAATATTTCAGCTTTTGCCGAACACACGATGTTACTTCGGATGTGCAAATCCTTGAATACGATTTGTCATAGGACTAAATTCAATGTTATTTTCAATGCAAAACAATGATATTTAGTCGCTAGCCCTTGATCATTAGAACTTAACTATTGCATGCCGATGATTGTGCGTTGTGGTATCGAAGTCAATGTTTTCAGCTGGGAGGATTTTTACTGTCCTTGAGTTCGTTCTAGTGTTTCTGCAGGATGAAAGCGTCACGGTTGTCTTTACTCTATCGTCCTCTACACAAACATCATGTTGGTTCTTGACTTTTCGTGGCCTGGTTAGAGTGGTCAACCCAACAATAAAAAAAATAATCTTCCATTGCAAGCTTGGCGATCTCCGGTTGGATCCGCATCTGTGGAGAAGTCGTGCAAACCTGTATCCTTAATTGGACTGTTTTTCACTTGCCTCTGACCTTACATCTCCCAGCAACGACAGAATGACAATACTGCCCCAATTGTTTTTATTTTCTGTCTTTTTTTGTTCCTCTCAATATTTATGAATTCCTTCATGTCTTATTAATTTCTCATCCACAATTATTAGTCCACTGATTTAACAAAATAATTTATTAGTATTTTATCTTAAGTGGTAAAATGTAATTTTAATATTTTTACCATATAAGAAATTCAATATGTCTTTCCTTGTAAGAAAAAATCTTTCATATAGTTATAAAAGTTATAAAAGTTATATAGTTATAAAAGCTATAAAAGTTAGTTATAAAAGCTATAAAAGTTAGTTATAAAAGCTATAAAAGTTAGTTATAAAAGCTATAAAAGTTATATTTTCCGCTATACACACACACCACTGAAAAGGCAAGGTAAGGTTAACTATTGTTTGTCTTCCATAGTTTGGCTGTAATTTTTTTTTTAATTTATAATATATTTATCTAGAGAATTGTTTCATTACTGTATATTATTTAAAAGAGCGGCACCAAGAAGGGGCTTTAGCCCCCTAAAAATTCCCTCAGCCCCCCCCCAAAGCTCCCCAAATACAAATAGCAATATTCTTGGTAGAATATTACATTATATTGCACTGAAATCTCTCTGTTGGTAAAATACATGGATGATTACGTTGAATTGAAATTTCTCTTGGTAGAATACTTGAAATATTCAAAAGCAAGTCCCCAATCCCCATAGTACAGAAATTTTGGCGCCGCCTCTCATTATATTTCCTGTCAGTTTTTAGTGTCATCAAATTTCTTATTTATGAAAACTAACAAAAATGTTGATTTTTCTCATTGACGTTAAAATAATTTTTGCAAAAGTAAGTTATGTGATATCACCTTGATGACAGTATAAGTGGCCTCATACATAAATCTCATTCAGTTCACAATTTCATACCATTTCACCGTCCCTCAAAGCAAGGTTATATACATCTAAGTGTGTACGTCTCTCAGTATACATTCTCTAAGAGTTTAATCGTTACTTTAGAGATTCAAGTATTTTTGATTGGTGGTGAACAGGTTAGATGCAGCCTTAAATACCCTCGCATAGTCGATAGGTTTCAACTTCAATAAATAAGCGATTCAACTCTCAACAGCAATCATCTCTGATGAAATCAAACTTCCAAGCTTCTATGATGATAATATTTGACTTCCGGGTCTTATCCTTCCACCGAGTAAACAACCTAACTTACTTTTATAATTTGGGAGAGAGAACTAAACAGGAAGGGATAATGCATATTATTTTTATTGCAAAGGCGAGACTAGTTTCAATGCCTTGAATCGAAGGCTTTAAAACAGTACCATAGCAAGAGGTGCAGATCTACACATTCATCTTGTCACACATTAAAACTCAAATCTGTTCCTTCCGATTGTGAGCTAAGCGCTCCATCACTAAGCTTCAGTTCGATTACCTAAAATCTGCACTCAGCATAGGTAAATTCCTTCATCATTACACGATTCTTTACTGTCAAACCTCTAATAGTTTTAGAAAAATTGCGATTTTTTTCTACACTTGAAAATGCACACAGGAAATTCTCCCCTTCAAGATACTGGTGAGGGACTCCTGATAAAACGTATTGAATTAATCCTTCCCTTCCTTGGACAGGCTGTAAATGTCTGTGTCCTCCCAGGCGCCGAATAACAACTGTGGGTTTATTGTTTTCCCCCTCCCAAACATAATAATAGCAATATCTATAACAGAAATAATAATAGAAATTATAGTAATAATAGAAATAACATTAATGATAATAATAAAACAATATAATTATATGCTGACAAATTAATTATATTGCAGTTACATAACATTCAGTCTTACATAAATTTCATATAACAGGAAATTTTTAATTACTCTTGGGATACATTCTTATGACCACATGGTGGAGCACAAGTGAGGTCAAGATAATAACATACCTCCCACACCCGAGTTTTTTTTCCATTTACGTAAACAAAAGCGCAGTGGACACAGGGGACCTTAAAATCAACTACTTCCTTCACCCTACTGCCTAAATAATTTCACTCATAATTTATCGACTACTGCTGTTTTGCACTGAAATCTCTCTTGGCTGAATACCTGGATAATTTCACAATGTTACAATGAAATCTCTTGCTAGAATATATGGATGATTACTTTATGTTGAACTGAAATCTGGAATATTAGATTAGGTTGCACCTAAATCTCTCTCTTGAGAGAATACATGAATTATTTTTATTGCATTGAAATCTCTTCTGGTAGAATTCTTGGATTATTATTTAATGTTGCATTGGAATCTCTTCTGGTAGAATTCCTGGATTATTATTAATTTGTTTTTTAATTGATTTTACTATTTTAATAAATCTCCTGGTAGAATTCTTGGATTATTTATTTAATGTTGCATTGAAATCTCTTCTGGTAGAATTCTTTGGGAAATTTTTAATTTTGCATTGAAATCTCTTTGGTGGAATTCCTTTTATTACTTAATTTTGATTGAACCTGGGAATTCTTGGTTTTTTTGAATTGCCTTGAGAAATTATTAATATTAATTGAACTGGAAGTTTCTGTTTGCCAACATAATACACAAGTTGTTACTTGAAGCTAAGTCTCTCTTGCTACATTACATAAATTATTACTGTTCTGAATTCTCTAACAGTAGGCAATATAAAAAAAAAAACGGCAAAAATTCGGATTGAGCTCCGATTTGTGGCAATGCTAACATTCCAAACTCTACGGTGTATGGTATGGCACTGAATACAGAGAAGTCATTATTGGTACAACGTTTCGCCACAGAGAGCCTTCATCAGTTTGTGTACTTGATTAAGCCAATTTGTAAAAAAAACATTGTATCAAAGATTATTCTTCAATCTCCGTCTCACTATACTGTAGACGTCTAGCTATTTATCTTCAGTATGTGGCAAGTTGCGTAATCTCAGTATATTTAGGATTCTTATGGTACAGTGGTAAAGCTGCTTGCTTGTGTTCTGACTTATTGCATTTCAGCATAGCGACAATTCTCGCATATATATATACAAGTCGTGCCGAATAGGTAAAACTGGTCAATTAGCAAGAACTCATTTAAATCAAATTGCGCTTGTAACAAGCTCAATTTAATTTAGCCTAATCCAGCTAATATATTTTTGATAAGATTATAATAATTTAATAAAAA